TCCGTACACTTTGGTTATAATACTACAAAAGGTTCATCATTGGACTTGACCAGCAACTATGCAATGCCAGAACCAGATATTTGAACTGAACTACCTTCTCTTTGGCTGTATCGTCTAGAGTTCAAATAACCTACTTTGTACACTTCAGTTAAAATACTATGGAAAGTTCATCGTTGAACTTAAGTAGCAACTATTCAACACTTTCACCAGACACTTAAACTTTTGAACTGTGGACCTACATCCTAATTTAACTTACAAGGACTCTAGTCTGTATTCTAAATAAATTTTGCATTAATTTTAAGTTTGTTATAGTGTTGTCCATTTTTGTTCCAACTGTCAGATCCAATGTCCTTAATTTATAAATGTTAGTAGGCCTTTTGTGACCTTTATTCCTTACTGGGGCAAACAAGCCATGTTACATCGTGCCCCTCTCCAGGGGGTCCACTACAGGCTGAAATGCTTCACAAAATTCTTCCAGACAATCCAGCTGACCTCAGATATCAATATGATGGAGGATTTTTCAGCCTGAGCAGATTTTGATCTAAATGTCTAATACACACATCTCAGAACTTTAATATGCTGATGACAATGCTGCCCTCTGTCATTCAAAAGAAGAAATATAACAGCCTATGAACAATTTTGCTAAAGCCTTACAGCAAATGTCAAGAAAACTAAGGTCCTTGTACTATCTTACTAAATTTTGATATTACCATCTCTGATACGCCGCTTGAACAAGTAGAGCATTTTCCATATTTAGGCAGCCTTTTATCAAACAAGTGTGAAACCTGGACTATATCTTTGCAATATTCAAAAATTGAAACTCTTTCACCAGTTAAAGTTTCATTCAATATTAAACATCAAATGAAAATACTATGTGACCAATACCAAAGTCCTGGAAAGAGCCAACAGTCATAGCATCAAATCACTGATCATGAAACATTGTCATCAATGGTCAGGACATGTAGCAAGCATGGAAGAGTCAAGATTTCCACATTAAGTCTTATTCAGTGAGCTCACTTCAGGGAAAAGACCATGGGATTACCCTGTTCAAATATACGACAAGGACCAACTCAAAACAATACTGAAAGCTATTGGATTTGAGCCTAAGACATTTGAAACAAATGCCTGAGACTGTACCAACTGGTGGTGTTCCATCACCATTGGAACTCAAAACTTTGAAGCCAGCAGAAGAAAAAGACTTGACACAATCAACCTTGTCCTCCACAAACATTACCATGCAGTCAATGACATCAGATCTTCCCTGCAAGAATTGGTCTCAGTCATTAATGCTATCTTCATAAAAGAAACAAGATAAAGCTGGCCACTTGTATATGAGAAAGCCCATCTACTAAGTCAGTTAGCTAGTCCCCATTGCAGATACCTACTCAGGCACATTTGTGATTGTTCAACACCCACATAGTCCACCTGTGACTTATACTGCAACTATGTTGAGCAGACCTTAGTTACAGTTTCTGGGAGAGAGCACATTATCAACAGTCTGAACAAGTCTAGCATGCTCAAACCCTCGATCATGATGACTCGCTTGCACAAGCATTGATGGGCTACCCAATTTCACTCACAAGGTTTGGATCAACCTGTGCTATGTTTTTCAGGTGCTGCATGCTGAGATCACCTCCTCCAGACTGAAAAAGATGGCTTGTCAATTTTAACACCTCCAAAACTAAACTGCTCTCCATTAATCATCTGAGAGATCCCTCTCTGCCTTCCATCAGCATGGCTGATGTTATCCTCCAAGAAAGTGACTCTCTGTACTTTCTCAGGCTAACATTCTCAGCTGACATGAGGTGGAAAGACTACATTGAATCCATTGCCAGATCAGCTATTGAGAAAGTCGGTTCACTGTGTCAAGTGAGACAATTTGTCTCTCTGGAATCTATCTTGCATATCTATAAGTCTATCATTTGTCCATGCTTACAATATTGCTGCCATAAATAGCTTGGTGCTCCCGCTATTTACCTGGAGCTTCTTGATAAAATCCAAAGAGGAATCAGCAATATTATGATCTGATCTGGCAGCAGAGCTTCAGTCACTTGCCCACTACTATAAGGTTGCACCTCTGTGCATTTTTTTTATAAGTACTTTCATGGTAATTATTTGGATGATCTCTACACTATGGTACCTAAACTGTATGAATTTAAGCGCAATACTAGACTGGTGGCAAGAACACATTAATTTGCAGTTGAGCTGGCTAGATGAAGCTATAACTTCTATGCTAACATTTTCTTATGATGCAATTCACTTGTGGAACTTCCTGCCCGCTTCATGATTTCCAAGCAACTTTAATCTTCAAAAAATTAAATGCATTATCAATTGCTATCTACTGTCCTCCTGATTGCTCTTTTCTTTCTCCTCATTATTGATGTTTCTGTTCCTAATTCCTCCACACCCTTTAGCCCCTTGCATACTAGTGGCTGTACTGCCTTGCATAGGGTGATACCAATTAACAACACACACACATACATATATATATATCAAGATATGGGAAATGTCTCTCCACACATCTCTGTCCTTTGTAGTGCTAATCAATGTTTGTCACCTTACAATCTCTTCCAGTCCCTATTGTGCAGTCCATTTACACAAACTCACCATTTCTCTCTCTCTTGACTTCAATATGTATATGCCCTTCAAGTGTCAAATTCTCCAAGCCCTCTTTCATGATGATGCTTCTGAGAATTTTCAACAAATTCTTTTGTGTCAAAGTGTCCAGCTGTTTGTATTGTGGTACATTTGTATGTCTTTTAGTCTTCCAACTGGTGTATCTACTCACATTTATATCTTGGTCAGTCTATGAACTTTCCAGCCAACCTTTGTATACTTAATGAAATGGTACTCAAATCTAGGGAAGACACTGGTTGCAGTTTGGAACTTGCCGTTGCTTGGTCACTGGGCACCAAAAATACTTTGCATATGGTCAGTGGTTATAGTCCAAATCAATTAGTATTTTGACAAAAACCTAATGTGCCTTCTGTCCTGATAAATAGACGACGGGTTTTAGAGGGTGAAGCAGCAGCTAACAACTTGAATGCCATGCAGGCTGCAAGAGAAACTATTATACAGCTGGAATTGTCTTCTGAAAGAGTTTTGTGCCAAAAGGTGAGACTCAGTACAACTCTTAAATATAGAAATGGAAACCTTGTATATTTCAAGAACAAATCAAAATATTGGATAGGACCAGAAACACAGGGGAAAACCAAAGAAATGATAGTTTATGAATAAAAAGAGTGTAAAATAGGAAAAATGGTAAAGGAAGGAATGAAAGAAAGAGGTTTAGAAAAATAGATGATAAAAAAGTGAAAGGAGTTTAGAATAGTCTTCCTATAGTCAATGCTAGACAATCTCACAGATGAAGAAGTGACTTGAAGCAACAGAAATTTGGTTCGACAGAAGGATGCTGAGAATACCATGGAGCAAACATGAGCAATGACAAAGTGTAAGAGAAAATGGAAACAAAAACTTAACATCAGGAAGAGAAACAATGAGGAAGAGAGCTTAGAAAATTTGATATTCCCAAGAGAAATTGAAGGCAAGAGAGAGAGGGAGGTAAATGATGCATAACCTGTCTATATATCTGAGGTGTCGTTTATAAGTATTTACACCATTTACATTGTTTGAAGTGCTGTCCTCACCTTTACTGTCATATTCACATTTCAGCCATTGTATACGCCAGCCTTCTTCAGCAGATATACGTTGGAATTTTGAACCAAAACCTTTATTTCATCTACTGGGGGTAGATTGTTCTAGTTCCACGTGCCATGGCTTTTCTGGATATCTCAGTTTTAGTTATTTCCCTTTAGTAACATGACACCATGTTTTTGCTGTGGCCAGGTATCAAACTCACAACTCTTTGGGTTAAGTCACTGGATTAATTCAACCAATGCTTTTATCCACTGGACCAAATTCCAGCGTATATCACCTGAAGAAGACTGGAGTGTACACCAGCCGAAACAGTCTGAACAATGTGAATATTGTAAATGCATAACCTACTTAGTGAGCTTGAGTAAATGGATGGCAGAGCAATGTTTAAGGGAGAGAAGAAAAAGAAAAAATTTATTAACAGCTACAAAGGACAAGAAATTGAGGAGAGCCATGATCGTCACAATTCTGAAGAGACATGGCAGATAAAAGTAGAAGTTAAAACAAAGGGGAAAAGCGTAAACAAAATTTTTTGCAAAACTAAACAATATTTTTAAAAAAGAAATACAAAAGAAAGTTCAGAAAGAAGGATTTTAGGAAAAAGATGCGAGAGGGAAGAATGAACAAGAGACAAGTGCTGAGAAAGAGAGAAAAACAAGTAAAATTATGAGAAAATTAGAAGAGAGATTGATTTGTTTTTTATTGGTTATCAACCTTTTACAGCTTATGTAAACTTAGAAAATGTTTGTAGATTGTAATAATTGTTTTGGAGATAATAAGGATTTACTGATATAAATCCTACTAATTAACTCATAGCTGGAGAGAAAAGAGGTGGATTCATATGTTTCCCTAGGTGCGGCAGAATGATTGAAAGAAAGATTTAGAGCAAGTTTTAAAAAACATTCATATACCAATAATAAACATGATTTCAAAATGTAAAATATCATTATGGATTACTTGTAATTGCATGTATAAGTCCCAGTATAAATTATTATAAATAATTATTGACCAATTTTATCATTGTGTTATTTTTGCATTTTGTCAAACGTTAAGAATATAATAACTAGTGTTCGCAAATTGGAGGAGAGAGATATCAATGATAATATTCCAACTTTGAATCTTTAACCCACTCCTTGTCTTTTTTAATTTTTATGTACTTTTTATCATATAAAATTTCGTGAGATGTGAGCAAATTTTCATTCTGAAAATGTAACAGAAAAAATTTAGGAACTCCTGCCCTCAGGTAGTTGCAGTTAAGTAAATATAATGAACCCAACTGGAATTGGAACTTAGCTCTCTGATTTCAAATTCTGAGCTGTTATCCATTAAACCACCTGCACATCCAGGCTTACAGCACCTGGTATTCCCAAGCAGTCATCCATCTAGGAACTGGCTAGGCTCTATGTTGCTTAACTTCAGTGATTTTATGAGAACCAATGTTTGAATATGGTATGGCTGTAAGCCATGAGAGAGAATAAAATATAAAAGTTAAAATTAAAAAAATTTTTTTTTTTCTTTGAATATTGATCCAAAGACCTTTGAGTGTAAGTGCATGCCGGAAATATATTTCATGAATGAACAGGTGTTCCATCAAAGGATCGTCAATATTCTCTGTTTGCTTGTAATGAATTTTATCGATCAGCAGACTGTAAGCGTTTTTTTTTTTTTTTTTCCTTCTTTCTACTTCAGACACTTTCTTTCTTTTCTTTTTTTACTTTATGGGTTCCATGTTACCTAAAGGAAGGCTTGTCTGTTGTCTTTTTATTTTTGTTTTTATCATAACAAAGCCAATCAATGAATGTTGAATCAACTGATAAAAATGTAAAAAGAAAAAGAAAATTAAAAAAAAGTGAAACAAAAGTCAATGGCAAAGAAAAGAAGAATTAAAGTAGGCAGTGGGTAATTTTTAAAAATTTTTAAATTGATTCATAATTGAAAATTAAAAAAGATCACAAGTTGGGCAATTAATTACTTACACTGCTATGACTACTATATCATAATCTCTCACACATTTGCCAACACAGCAATTTTCTAATTCTCCAAAAATTTTCTTGTATTTTAGCAACAAATGTCAATGATAATATTAGCTATTTCCTCATTAGGAAACTTTCAGCATTCATTGCCTAAACAGCCTGTGCTACAGCCAGTTGAAATTTATATAATACTAGCTTAAAAGCCACTCTATCGGGTGGCATTTTATCTGGCACCTGCGGAGGACTCTTGATTAGGCCTTCATCACAATAGGTAGGGAGGAGTAGATGCGATAGGCAACAATAAATTACAGAAGAACTCAAAATTGATCACTAATGCATTAATATTTAAGTTTACCTTTTCAAAGTTAAATGATAATTCTTCTGCTGCTACTTAATTTAAAGACAATTTGATGTATGTAAATCTGTACTTTCCATATAAACAATTATTTTTATTTCATAGGTGACTTTAACTGGATTTCGCAATTAATTATGATTATTCCCAAATTTATTTCCAAGTTAAAAAAATTTGTCATAAAAAGTCATGTAAAACAAATTGCCAAAAACAATTGCAGTAATGAAAACTTAGGAATCTAGAATTTCAGGTTATTGTGGGTCCAGATGTGGCCTGGCATGTTTTTAATTTGCCCATGGTGTCAGCCTGATTCCAAAATAGTATATGATATCTTGGACTATGGTCTCTAAGAGTAAAATTGAAAAAGTTTAACACAGTGACATTTACATTTCTTATATGTAGAAGTCAAGTGACTTACCTGCTAACATGGCTGCCTTCTTGTGTCCTCTTGGAAAAGCAGGCCAGCTAATTTTACCTCATTTATAGGAGAACACCTAATACACCAGTTAGGTTGGTCCATTTTGCTAGAATGGACCTGCCCAATACATTTGCACGAGCGGTCTCCATTTACCAATATATCTCTCCATTAAATGGCTCAAGTCAGCTTAACTCGGTGGCTACACCTGTCTACCAGACCACTTGCAAGCAAACCAATATTCTATATTATATATATATATATATATATATATAATATAAATTATAATATAATATAATATAAATATATATTTCTTAAAAAAGTTTTGTTGAAATACAGGTTTCTCAGGTCCACTTGATGTTATTGTTCTTTCCAGTATTGATGGGAGCATCCTTCCTAACTTTTGGTTTGAAGCAGTGTGGAAAAACCAACATCGTGATTATGTCATTTTTTTTTTCTTTATTTGACATGTGCTATCCATTTTAGTTGTTGCCGGTGTTGTAGTCCTCAAGTGGCATCTGTTATTCATTACAAAATTTTGTTTGTGATTCTATAGTGCCAGTTCACAAGCTTCAAAGAAGAATAGTCCTCACTAAAACCTACAGGCTTGATTTACTCAAAGCTGTTTTTAATAACTGATCTGAGAAAGCGGTGGTACACAGCTGACAGTTTAGATATTTTTGAATGCGTTTGGTGACATAAAAGGGGAAACCACAGCAACAACTAAAATGGATAGCAAATCCAAAACAAAAATAATGGCATAATCAAGATATTGATATTCCACACTACTTCAAACAAAATGTTAGGAAGGAAACTCCATCAATATTGGAAACAGCAACAAAATCTACTAGATTGGGAAACCTATTTTCCTGAGAAATTGTTTCATGAGAAAGATATAAATTTTAACAGAAAGTAGAACTGGCTGTCTGATCAATGAACACCAAATGTTTCCTTATAAGGAAATGGCAAACTGTTACCATTACTACTATTAAAATGTTAAAGGCTGTCTTGGTTCTTTTTATGTCACATTCTTTTTTATTTGAGAAGAAGAGCATGACAAGTATTTAAATACTAACCAATATTCCTTTCTTTAAGTTTAAGTAGAATTTGTTCTCTGGCTTCTGATTTTTTTCTAAGGTTTCTGAATACCATAAAAGAGTTGAATGAATGCACAAACAATAAAGAGTTGTGTAAACTATTAAAAGAAAAAAAAAAAGACATTTCCTAAATTTCCTTAAAATTATGCAAATTATGATACTGAAATTTAACACCAGCTAAATTATTCATGTGAGACATGGTGGAGTAATGGATAGCAGCTCTGATTGAGGAATCAGAGAGCCATGTTTGAATTCTAATTGGATCCCTTACATTCACTTATATAATACCCTTGGTAAAGGTATGAATCCTCTACTTCTCCACCCAGCTATGGGTAAATAGCAGGACAGACTGGGTTCTATACCCTTGCATGGCAACTGGTTTAGGAGAAGGAAAATTCCTGAATTCAAAAATGGCCTAAAGAGTGTTGGACTCCCTCAAGCTATCTTATCTAAGAAACACAACTTCTACTATGGATGCAGTACATATAATCCCCCTATGGCCCTACAGTTTAACGGGATTCGTGATGATGAAATTCATAGAGAACACACTATCTCTTAAAATCAGTTCATCATGAGCGTTTCATCTCTGAGTTAGTCTTGCATCCATAGTTTGAGAGAATTTTGAAAAAAATAGCGAAAAGTACAAAATTTTACTAAATGTATTTTTTCATATTGTTGTCATCATTTTATCAAGTGACAGATATTTTAGGGTTATAACATAAAGTCACCCCAACATAATACTCATGTTTTGCAACCTTATTCTGGTTGTGACACTCTTCAGTCAAATGCCAACTTGAGTTCTTGCATTAGCAATGAAGTAAGTCACAAACCAGTGCAGCACTGATCAGAGAAGTGAGTTTTTGTATCATTATGCAACTGATTCAAATAATCAACGTACATTGCTAGGTCATCATCAGTGGATATATTTGCTGAGGAAGGAAACTGCAAATTCCTATCTCCCAAGGTCTAACCAAAACAGCTTTAGTTTCCCATTAAATGTGATAATTGCCTCCTTGCAGGAAAACAGGGTGGTACTATTTTCTTGGAGCTCTTTGTTCAGGATATTTAGCTTTTCAAAATTAAAAGACAAGTTGGTGAAAACATACCTTGATTTCAACTTTTCAAATTTTAAGAAATTGAAAAATAAAAACAGGAATTTTATATAGATCAGATGAAAAAATTACAATCAATAAATATTTATGTTAACAAAATGGTCTAGATTAATATTTAACTTAATAATAAATTTAATATTCTATTTTAAATAATAATTAGTAATTACAATATACTCCATATATATATTTTGTGGGCCCTAAATTTTCTGTGCCCCTGCCTTCAAATTTGGTCTTGTTTCACTGAAAATCTCATACCCTTCCCCCAAGGGGGCCATATAGCCTATGTTAAGAAATCTTGATCTAGATGATAAGTACAAGGTTTTCAAGTTCACTTAACTCAAACACTGATCAGTGGTCTTTGACCTGCATCACGTTTCTTCAATTTTTTTTTTGTTCCTTTGTCTGTAACTTTTGATGTGAATTATGAATTAGAGATGACAATGAAAATAACGAAGTCTTAAGTGAAATGGAAACAAAAAGAAGGCTTATACTTAAAATCAGAAAGAAAGTTGAAATCTCTATGGGGCATAAAGAAACAAGCAGCCTGGGAGAATTTTACACTAACAAGGTGTACTGAAGTCATGAAGAAAGCAGTGGGTAACATAGAGATGACAGAACAGGGATTGGGAGTGATAGCAAAATGATAAATGTTAGTAAGAGCTACAAAGGACAGGAAGCTGTGGAAAGCCATGACTGACCACATACTGAAGGGACATGACATACAGAAAAAGAATTCATAGGTGCCTCATAGATGAGAGGGGGATTAATTTGTTTTTTTATTTTAGTAAATTTTTTCGATGACACTGAGCTTATCAAAAGTACTCCAAACAAAAACAATTTGTTTGCCGGCCATTGCCACTGAGCAGACAGGGAAATCATTTCATCCTTACTTTGGCGTTCTTCTGGAAGTGTCTTCTCACAGAAATTGACTTTCCCAGACACCATAGCTAGGGATTTAGGGTTGGACAATGGGGATAGCAATACAAGATGGAACAGTGTGGAAAAGGGTTGTCAATGGAGTTCCAACCAATCTTAGGGAGGTCGAAGGATGATGATGATAAGCACTTCATTTATTACTTTCATACTTTTTAAATTATTTTACAACCTCTTATCATTTATTAAGACCACCACACCATTTATTGCATGTTGAGATTTTTTTTCTATTATCCTAAGCACCTAATATACAAGGGGGAAATTTTTTTTTAATTTTTAGGTGAAATTTTCTGACTGTCTGAGCTTCTTAAGACCCACCCATATATATTACTTTCACACTTTTTGACCCGTTTTTTAAGAAAACCCATTTATTGCATATTAAGAAAAATTCTGCCTCTCCCTCAGCTCCCTTGTATTAAGCACCTAAGTGTATGAAACAAACAAAAAAAAGTTTAAATCTACTGGCTTCCCTTGCTTTCATTCATCATGAAAATTCAATTAAAAATTATATTTAGAATAAACATTTCTATCTTTGACTGTCATTGTCTCATGTCTGAAATGGTTAAGTAAATAAAATTC